GTCTCACTTGGTTGACTTTTAAGTAATGTTTTTAGTTTACAGATGAAGACAGCAAACATCCCAGAGTACAGACATAATCAATTCATTAAGTCAAATGGCTTTGTTCTAGCTCTAGCTAGAGCCACTGAAAGTTTACTGGAAACATTCAGCTGTCTCCATATTCTCTAGCTTGAGTGCTCAGACACAGGAAAGGTCAACTAGAAGAGAGGCCACAACATAGTCCAGCTTCTAGGTTCTGCCCCCAGCTGATACATCTGGCTAAGATCACCTGCATGCTTACAAATGAGTTTTCATGGAATGGCACCATAATTGTTGCTCCCCAAATCCCTATCATGGATGACGATGGATCCTTCATTGTACCGCATTTCTGAAGTTTTAAATTGAATTTCAGAAAATGCAGTTACAGTGGCCATTAAATTTAGGAGGGCACTTTGTAAATAAGTAAGGACCTATGGAAGTATCTTTGTTTTAATGTATACCTTTGGGGGTCATTTTAAAATACTGTGTTTCTCTACTTTGATGACATGTTTGTATTTGGGTCTGCCTGTGAGTATGTGCACACTAGTGCAGGTGCCTGCGGAGCAGGAAGAAAGCATCAGGCTCCCCCGGGCTGGATTCACAGACAGCTGTGAGCAATTGGATGTGGGTACTAGGTGCTGAACTCAGGTGTGTAGCAAGCACTTTTGACTGCACATCTCTAGATGACCCATCTCTCGAGCCCCATGAGCCATTAAAGAAACAATCCCATATATATGATAGCTGCGTTTTTCTCCCTTCAAATGACATGCTTCTTCCTGTCTTTAAGAAAATTTTCAGTGATTTATAGTCACATTTTATCAAGTTGTTTTACTGTGGAAAGTCAAGATTAAGGCACATATGGCTTAGCTTCACAGTGTTTTATTTCTCCTTTCTCGTCTAAGAGTCTGGTATTACAGGGAGACTGTTAGGGGAGGATATGCTGATAAATTCTTTTGAAGCCTACAAAAAGTATCTTTTCTAAAGTTCAGAGGAAATGCACTGAATACTGAATTCAGTACACAGTGGTACTTAGTGGTAGTTTCTGTTCCTTCTGAGACTTAAAATATGACTCCCTGATAGAAAAGAAAACCTCTATGACATCAGAGGACCCAAGACACAAATAAGTTCCTATGAACTACATCTGAGAAATCAATAGGATATCACAAAAAAACCAGCATTATGACTTTGAGTAGAGCAGTCCATATCATCTTACCACTATGAAGGTATGGATGTTAGAGAATCATCTGGGGATGCTAAAAAAGGCTTAGGGTGAGGATGGCAAGGGCAGAAGAGATTCCTGTTTCTTCTGGAGGTGCCCTTTTGTCAGTATCTAGGTGTCCTGAGTCTCTATGACTATGTTGACATCTCATCATCTCTACCTGACCTGTATTTCTGTAGACTCTTATCAGTGAAGCTACTCTCCACCTTCTGACTCCTTAGGTAGCAGTCTGGAGATGAAGCTTTACTACAGGTCTATGACTTATCATCGCTCTCCAATCACCAGTGAGAGGCCATGATGGAGCCCAGTGCCCTAGCACACAGTTATGACTAGAGCCGCAGAATTTTTGATTGACAGCCTTGCTAACTGATGCACTGTCAAGAACTGAAACATCAGATCAAGCCCGGACTCTACCGTCAAGTGTCTCCCTTGCTTTGAAGGAGGCCCTTGACCTGCTCATGTCTCGGTCTCCTTCTCTGAGAAGTTGTGAGTTGTGTTTGAGGGTAACTATTTGGAAAGATGCTACATTTGTTGATCATTTCTAGAGTGTTTACTGTGAGGCAGGGGGATTGCCCAGAAGCATGGGAGATAAAAGAATAAGCAAACCAGACTCAAGAATTTTAGCAGGTGAAAACTTTTTCTAATTTTACACATTCCTCATGCACCATTAGCATTGGCTTTCTGTATCAATGACACAAAATGTTTGAGGCAAACCACAGTAAATTATACCTTACATGAGTTTCCAGTTCTGTTGAATGCAGAGACTCATGCTGCTGTTAGTTGTTCCTTTTGTTTTTGCAACTGGCTGATGAGGTCATGAAGTCGGGAAATGTAGACGTGTGGGCATATGGAAGTTCCTCTGTCTTAGGTCTTCCCAGCCTTTCCGTAGTGGAGGGTGGATGCTGTGTAGCCAGGATGTGGTTAGATATGCTCCACAGGACAGCCCAGAGCTCTCCTACATGCTGTACCAGATCCCTGGCATGCTTCAACCTCAACCTTGCCATCTTCAGACTGCTGATTCATGCTCCCGATGCAAGCCTAATGGCCATGAACATACTCTGTTCTTTTCTGTCTTTCTTTTTCCTCTTCTTCTTTGGGAACATTTTTCTGGTTAACCAGGCAGATGATATGCTAATGCAAATTGGCAGACTTGAACTCAAACTACAAAAATACGATCTGCCTCATGGAAGAAACAAGGGACCAAAGACACTTCAAGGTTGTCCTCCGGATTTTTCTTGGGTCACACAGTAAATGCTCAGAAGAGATACAGGTGTTCAGAAGGTACCCCTGGTGACCATTGGGGTTTAAGACCACGATGAGAAATACTTCTTTTCATTTAAAATACAATTCCTTTGGATTATTTAAAATAAAATTCCTTTGGATTCTCTCCGTAATGTGCTGCATGAGACTCCCTGCCAGTTTCTCCTTTTGTGCCAGGAGCTCTAGCTCTGTACACAGTGAGCTCAGTGAGGCAGAAAAGCCAGAGCCTGCATCTTCTCCAAATCCATCCTGGTCCCAACCTGGCTGTGTCTTGCTTCTGAGTCATGAAGCCAGGGTTCACTGGAGGTCAGCACAGCTCCACAGGCTCATTCAGGGATTTCACTGTATGGCTGTGGATATAGTGTTTAATCTCCTCTCGTCAGCTGGCTGGATGCTACAATAATATTACCCTGTGTTGCCACAATAGTGATTAAAATACAAGAACACGCAATTCCTGCTTCCAAAGCCCTCTCTCAGGAAAGCAGGCAGGAATCTGCAGCAGGAACGAGCCTTCTGCAGCATGCAGATATTCCCAGAAAGACCATTCCGAAGCCTGTTTATTAGGGCCTGAGCTTTCATGGCACTGCCACGTGGAATGGCAGGGTGGCTGCCTGCTGTTTTATTAAGCTTCTCTTCTGTCTGACTCATACTCACAAAATTTCTGACCATGGACTCGGGATTTACTGTAAAGTGAGTCATCTAAACAGAACGAATCAAGACTCTCCAGGCAAATTCAGCTCAGTTTTGGAGCTGCTATTTCTATTCTCAAATGGCTTTTTTTCCTTTAGTATCAGGAAAAAAGAACATTGGTGAGGAGGGTCTGGGTGAGTCTGTTAAAGATGCGAAAATGAATAAATCACTTTGAGTAAGTCCATGCCCAAAGCCACAGCTTTCAGATGGTAAAAAAGGAAGATATTTGCTTTCTGCTGGAAAGGTCACAGTAGATCTGTGAAGCTGATTTTTTAGAGCAATGTGTTAAGCACGAAGAGAGGAAAGACATCCCTGACAAAGCAGAATGAATGTGCGGGTTTTATTTTTCCTGACAGAGGAGCAAGATCCAAATCTAAGTCCTGAGCAAGAGGTCATTTTGGCACTCAGAAGGCTGTTTGCTTCATCAGTTCAGCACCTAGACCTTCCTGAGGTGACTCTTGCCTTTGTGTCATGAGTGGCACGGGTGTCCTCAATGCTCTGGAAGTAAAGCCTTCCTTGGATCTAGACAACTAAATTCATAATGTATCTTTTGAAGTGAGACAGAGTGAACAATACAAATGACGGGAATAGTGTTGTTAGTGTGCATATCAGTACAGGGGAAATGGGCAATATGCCTCTCTCCCTAGGACTGTCACAAACCAATAGCACACAACATCAAAAGGCCATCACCATAAACTCTAACTTAAGAGGAGTCTCTGGTTCTATGATCCTAATGAGAACATGATTTGTTTGGGGTTTCTTGTGACAATATCCAGTGACAAGATTAGTGAAAGAAGTTATGTGGGTCTGGTAATTCCTATTATGCAGATGGGAAAGAAGAAGCAGAGAGCAGCAATCAAGGAGTGGACTAAAATCTTTCTTTTTATGATGAAATGCCTTGGTTTGGGCATGGTTTGGATTGTAGCATTTCTTTTGAGGAAGGGAAAGGAAGAAACGGAGAGCTGGGGGGTTCAGGCTGAATCTGAACTGACAGAGAAATCCAACAGAAACAGTTACCCACTGGCTTGTTATTTGAAAGTCAAAGAGTAGACACAGGTTCTGGTGGACAACTAAGACATAGTCCCATCTGAAGATACTTGAATCATAGGAAATATTTCGAACAAAATTAAGAAAAGTTGGCTCTGTTAACATACTCCCTTCTAATAAACTGAGCAGGCTGGGAAACAGCCCACCTGCTCATCCCAGAAAAGGAAGGGCTAATTCCCCCTTACACAAAGATTCTGCTGTATTCAACGTGATGGATGGCATCACATGAGATGTTTAGAAGGTCATAGTTGGCACGTTATAATGTATTATATACAAACTTTATCTTGATTTGAGAACATGTTAGTTGTCAAGTGTAATGTATGAGAAGAAAAAGAACAGTGAAGACAAGGATCATGAGATTCCGATAGAGACAGAATTATGAAACCTAGGCTTGGCCTGGGAATGCTTAGCCTGGCCCTGTCCTCTATGTGGTAGGCTGTGGCCCAGCTCCAGGAACTCACCGATCCTTGGTAGGCTCTTGTTATCATTAGAGAATTGGACATGAGGTGTGGCCCAAGTGGCCCTTGCAGCCCAGATCAAGATTTTAAAATGGAAAGACCCGAAAGCACCTTCTTACGGAAATGTGACCAGCCATGGCCAGCCTAGCGAAGGGAGAGCAAGTGCATTTGTGAGCGTTTTCCTGCGCATGTGCTACAAACCAGCTACTAGGCCCGGAGCAGCTTTATCCATTTCCTCGCCAAATGTGAGTCATAATAAATATGAGACAGAAGGAATTTAAAAGCCAGACAGATTTTTTTTAACTTACATTTCCAGAGGTCTCAGTTCATGGTCATCTGTGTCAGGGTGAGATAGAGAATCTTGGCCGATGGAAATTGCTCATTTCATTGCAGCCGTGAATAGGGAGGGGAGAAGTGCGCCACAGATGGACAAGGTCGCATCCACAAGCACAACCCAATGATCTTCCTTCAGCCCAGGCCCGCCTTTTCACTTTCTACCACCTCTCACAGCAGTGACGCTAAAGGGAGAATGAAAGCCTAATAAGTCCATGGAGATGTTTCATATGCAAGCCAAGACAAATGCTCTTTACCACGTGATAATCAGAACTGCCGCCACTTAACCTCACTAGGTGTCTCTCTAGTCTCTCTCTCTCTCTCTCTCTCTCTCTCTCTCTCTCTCTCTCTCTCTCTCTCTCTCTCTCTCTCTCTCTCTCTCTCTCTCTCTGTGCTCTGTTTGCTCGAATGTTGGTGAAGGATGCTTGTGTGCACAGAGGCCAGAGGAAGACTTCAGGTGTCCTTCTCCACCCTGCTAGCCTTACTCCCTTGTGATGGCTCTTTCACTGAACCTGAGCTAAGGTGACAGCCAGAAAGCTCCTGCCTCTGTCTTCCACAGCATTTCCACAGCTTACAAATGCCTGTGTGGCCACGTCTAGCCTCTCATATGGGCTTTGAGGTCTGAACTTTTATTTTCGCACTTGGCCAGCCAAGTGTTCTTATCTAGTGAACCACCTTCCTAGGCCCCAATTCTGCATGCATTCATTTTCAATAAAGATGCTTATAGAATTGATGCATATGTCAGACTCAAGTATTACAAAATACATGCCAATTAACTAACGCCTTTATTTGTTATACGATTGTAACATCCTGTCATAGGCCCCACAAGCCAGAAGTTAATGAGCAAAAATTTTCCAATACCGCATCTGTGGTTTTGAATACACAGGAATATAGATGAATCTTTCTCAGTGAGTGTATCTGGAAAAATAGAAATCCATCAGAATTACCTGAGAAACTTGCTCAAATCTATCAGTCATCCTTACACTATATTCAACCATGTCACATGGACTAGTGGATGTTACTGCTGTTCCTTATTCATGAGGAGTAATGGATTTGAAAAAAGACACCTGTTATGTTATTACTTTGTAAATTTTTAACTAGTAGATTTTTCATTATTATATTTTTTACAAGTAAAGGGCCTTATAGATGATCCAGTTTAGGTTGTCATGTATTTTAATAGTTCATTTATGACTTACACAGTCATAGTTTGACATATCATGAACATTCTTTGCCATCTATTGCGTCACCGATGTCCTCTACCCATAAATACACACATTGCTTCATCAAAGCATTCACTTAGGATCAGATTAAAATCAAGTAAATCTCTTCATTATAAAACAGCAAATGTAATCATAGTATCAATGAGCCAGCATCTACCAGCAATCTGATACTGGAGTCAAGATGTGTATACTGGCTGCTTACAGTTGGATTTTACCCTCTGGAGTCTTCTGAATTTTTCAGCTGGACATTTGTTTATATTTCTGAAAGATGGGATTAACAATGCGAAAGACTTCCAGCAATACCTGAGTGGTTTTCTTCCCATGAATGTTGGTTGGATAGAGATAAAGCATCTATGCTTTTCAAGTGCTTCTGAGATGTAAATATTTAGCAACAGTTATTAGAATCACCTTCAATACTACACACTGTATCCTACAGACCAAAATGCAGAAGAAAACTGTATTGGTTAAGCCTTAATGTAAGCATAGACCAGAATATCAAAAACGGGAGCTGTAGACTCAGAATAACAGAGTGATACTTACAGATTGTGAGCTAAAATAAAATCTGTGAGTGGATCTATACAGTGGAACGTACAGAAACATGGAACCGAAGACCTGCATCCAAATCTCATTTTGCAAGTTCTGGATCTACATAAAAGTCAGCATGTCTCCTTAGGTTCCAGGACCTGACTAATCCCACTGGAATGTCTTAATGAGCAAGTCATCTAAGATGTGTAAAGGGGTTTCAGAAACCATGAAATCCTTTTCATAGGAAGTATTAAATTATTTTCATAGGAAGTATTTGATTCACAAAACTATTTAGAAAAATATAAAATAGTGCATAAAGAGACTGTAGAATATTGTTTTCTTTGTTTGGCCTGAAATTGTGTAATCCTGTTTATGTTTACTTAATATGCCTCGTGGCAGTTCACAACTAATCAACTGAGGACACGCTGAGGAGAAAACAACTGGCAAGAACAAGGACTCAGCCTCAGCTGACCTTGCTTCACCCTGCTACAATTTATTGATTAAGGTTTCATGGCCACGATGCTTTTTAAGCCACTTACTTCATAGATAAAACACATATAACAGTATCACATATAATAACGGTAATAATTTTGATTTTCAAAGCTCTTAGTCCATTTGAGTAATATATAGACTTAATGAGACTTATTTCCAGTACAAAGTTATCATAATTGTTGTTCTCCCATTAACCATGATTCTGAATATCCATATGGTTTCCGTGCTGTGCCAAACCCTGCTAGTTTTGTAGTCTCTTCCTCCTTCTCTTTGCTGGTTCCCTTCCAGAAACAGCTGATTTGGGATTGCCGTAATTACAATGAAAACACTTTGGATGCCTGATTAACAAGACAGTGTGATACATATGCATTATACTAAATGTTCTAACCCACAGAAACATCTGAAACGCAAGCGTCCTTTGAAAAATAAAGCCAGGGGATGGTCATGCATGACTGGGGACATGTTCTTATCCAGGTGACTCTTTTCAAGGTCATAGCCTTACTTTCATATTTCCTTTTCTTGAAGTAAGTGTTTTGCAAACATCATCCTGCCTGCAGGAATCTGGTAATTGGTAATGTGAAGGCCTGTCTGAGAAGCAAATCGCTGCTGCGAAGGATCCGATTTAGCATCATGACTTTTATTCATTTTTAATATAGAATTTCATGGCTCATCGAGAGCAAAGCTAGTCTGTCATGTCTCTTTGTTCCTTTCAGAGAGTGCCGAGCCATTGCTCTGTTTGTGCTTTTGCAAATATCAACACAGTTTTAGAAGAAGGGAGTGACATTCTGTTCCCTTTCCCTGGCTTTTTTCTAAGTTCACTGAGTTTTTGGATTTTTCTTTTTTTATCTCTAAAAACTCCTTTCACAATTTTACTGATTCCATCTTGCAGATCCTGTGAATGAGTGCCATAGCTTATCAAAAATCATCACTTTATATTAAACTTATACTTGAGCCAATATGATGGGATGATCTTCCTGCAGAACCTCTTCATTCCTTTTCCTTTCTTTACAGGACTGCAAATTGGAGAACCAAGCATCCAAAGAGTCCTCTTACACAGCTAAGAGGAGGTGAGCATCTCTTTCTTCTCTTTTGGCCTTATTTTCCATCTCCCTGTGGCTTACAGGACCATAGTAACTTACCACCATGCTGCGAATACATCAGTGATTCACCAGAAGGCTCAACTGGCCCACAAGGACATTGCTTTTCGAGTTTGATCTCAGAATATCTCAGAATAGCCAATACGTTCTTAGGCTGAGACAGCTCAGCGTTTAACCTGCCACTTTGCAGTTAGCTTCATTTTATTAGCTTTCATATGGTAAATACAGGTGTTCTTAATTACCTGTCCCCCTCCTTAATTGCCTCTTCCCCTCCATATTTCTTTTTGCCTCTGCCTTTTACTTTCTCACTTACATTTAATAGGTATATTAGCAGAAGCGAAATGTCCAACTAAAAGTTATCTGAGTATTTAAGTCAGCTTTTACTCTGGCCTGTGCTCTAGCTCTGAGATGAAGGTTCAACTTTGTGTTGTGCCAGATATTCATTCTAAAAGCACTTCTGAGAAAGTGGAATTAAAGCACAACTATAAATAAAGAGACAAGAAAGTTGGAGAAGAGAGAGGCATTGCATTTAGCATGCTCTTCTGAGACCTCTGATCACAGTCTCTGCCAGACTGTTTAGAAGAAAGTTCTATAACACCAAGCTGGTTACAGTGACGAAGTACACACCTCATCAGTGTCAGCTACATGCCTTTATCATCCTGCAGAAAACAGAGCAAAAAAAACAAGAAGTAGGTTCAGGCTATAATGAAAACACACAAGCAGTGACATACCTCCCCAAGCAATGCCCTACTTCTTAAAGCTTCCATAACCATTCTGGTGTGACCAGCTCGGGACCAAGTATCCAAATACATGAGTTCATGCGGAGTATTTCTAATTCAAACAGTGACACACATGAACATGTGTGAACATATATATATGGGATTAATATACAATACATAATAGATCAATATATAATACATATTTCTCATTCCTTTGACTTCTCTATTGCAAAGTATTTTGAGTACAATGTAGTAATGTTTATAGCCAGTAAAAAATTCTTTCTAGGTTATTCTGAATTGTCAAGATGTTTTTATTGGGCCAAATGAGGTTTAAGGAAGTGAAACTACTACTAAAATAACATTGAAATGTTGATACCCCTGTATAATGACATAGTAAGGCTTTAGATTTTGTTCCCTACTCCAAATGCCCAATTAGTCTGCCACGTGTTCATGTGACACATCCATAGAATGACCGTACTGTATGTCTGTACACAAAGCATGGGGGGAGGGTGAGCAGGACAGAATTACAGAGATGTTAAGGTCATTCAGTAGCTTGCCATTTAAGGTGATTGCCATGGCTTCTGTGTGTTGTGGGAAGAAGTGCTCAAACAAGATGGATGTGATAGAGAGTTCCTTTGCCATAGTCACTCAGAATCAGTGAATGTGACATCATGCTTAGATACAGCAGCAGTATGGAAGACACCATGGGTGGGTGCTAAATTATAGACCAGTAAGCAATAAATGGCAATTGGTATAGAAAGATGAGAGAGGAAGAGTCAGTTTGACTAGGTGTAACTTGTGTGACTCAGTAGTGATTACATATCAGAGCTGAAAGAAAGACTTAGGGACACCAAACAACCATCAAGAGATATTTGTGTAGCAATGTTTATTATATGCCATTCAGAGTAGTTAAGTTATTCAAACAACTTAGGTGTCCAACAACAAAGGAAGGGATAAACAAAAAGAGGCAAGATATATAATGTTTTTTTTAATCACAAAGGGTGAAGTTGTATGTATTGTTTGTAAGATAACAGATGCAATTGAAGATGATCATAGTAAGGGTGAAGTTGTATGTATTGTTTGTAAGATAACAGATGCAATTGAAGATGATCATAGTAAGGGTGAAGTTGTATGTATTGTTTGTAAGATAACAGATGCAATTGAAGATGATCATAGTAAGGGTGAAGTTGTATGTATTGTTTGTAAGATAACATGCAATTGAAGATGATCATAGTAAGGGTGAAGTTGTATGTATTGTTTGTAAGATAACAGATGCAATTGAAGATGATCATAGTAAGGGTGAAGTTGTATGTATTGTTTGTAAGATAACAGATGCAATTGAAGATGATCATAGTAAGGGTGAAGTTGTATGTATTGTTTGTAAGATAACAGATGCAATTGAAGATGATCGTAGTAAGGGTGAAGTTGTATGTATTGTTTGTAAGATAACAGATGCAATTGAAGATGATCGTAGTAAGGGTGAAGTTGTATGTATTGTTTGTAAGATAACAGATGCAATTGAAGATGATCATAGTAAGGGTGAAGTTGTATGTATTGTTTGTAAGATAACAGATGCAATTGAAGATGATCATAGTAAGGGTGAAGTTGTATGTATTGTTTGTAAGATAACAGATGCAATTGAAGATGATCATAGTAAGGGTGAAGTTGTATGTATTGTTTGTAAGATAACAGATGCAATTGAAGATGATCATAGTAAGGGTGAAGTTGTATGTATTGTTTGTAAGATAACAGATGCAATTGAAGATGATCGTAGTAAGGGTGAAGTTGTATGTATTGTTTGTAAGATAACAGATGCAATTGAAGATGATCGTAGTAAGCAAAGTGAGGCAACCCCCAGGAAAATGAAAACTGTGTTTTCTCTTATTTGTGATTATTAGATTGTTTATGTAGATGCAGAAAATCATGAATGCATATATGAAAATAGAAGGGTAACTCCTAGTTTCCATGTTTGAAGAGCTAAGTGAATCTCTGACATGACATGAGCAAGGCAGAAATAGTTAGCTTTGTGAATGAGGTCAGTTTTGGAGATGAGAAGCCCAAACATCTAATGACATGTTATGTAAACATCATCAGGGGTATAAAGTAGAGGCACACAAGCTTCAAGCTCAAAATAGAAGGTTGAACTCAATAAAAATATCAGTATCTATATTTGGCAGTTATCAGCAGTGCCAGAAACTCAATAGTGAACTTGCCCAAAGACAAAAGAATTGTACTTACGTTATGGGTAGAAGAAGAATTAGCAAGGGAGAATTTCTGAACAGGAAGGGGGAGCACCAGAGGACAGTAATGACCCAGAAAGAACAGGAAAAGGGCATAATAATACTACTGTCTTTATCATATATCCATGCCAGTGGAAGACTTGTCAGTAGAGTTTAATATAAAAAAGGAAACTTTATCAATGGGCCATGGTCATATACATTCTAAAAACCGCATGTTCATGCATTCAAAATAAATTTGTTGAAAATTTAAAAACTTTTTATATGCTACATAGAAAGTTGTAAAAATATGATGACAAAAATTGTGTCTGAGAAATATTGCTTCCTATTTTTGGTACTCAAGAATCGACCAATACTAGATTAGGTCTCTTGTTCAGAACAGGATAGCTGGGCAAGAAAGAAGTGATAATGTTTCAGATGCTAGACAATAGGTATAACAGGCAGAGCTCCAAGAATGAAAGATAATGAAAGAAACCCTACAAGCACATAACCCTTTGCAGAGGCAAATGCAGGAGGAGAGACAGGCAGAGCATATACATCTGTCTAACCACAGTTAGAGGGGAATGGTGTCCTGAATAACATGCCCGAGTGCTGTAGAGAGAGGAATGGACAGGAGTGAGTGTTGGAGGAACTAAGGAGAATCACATGTAGTTTTGATCTCCTAGAAATTAAGATAATTAGCAAGGACCATAAAGGGAGCTATTAGAGCTGGTCTGTGCTTAACTTATAACAAGACAGTGTGAAGAGAAACATCTGGACTGTCCAGAAGAGATCACAGAGAAGCCAGGATATAGGAAGCCACCTACATTTAGCAGACAATGGAAGATACTTTATATCTGACCCCACAAACTTAAAAATCAAACAATGAAATCACCAAACTGGTTCTCAAGTAAGTTGTTTTTTGTTTATATTTGTTTGTTTGTTTGTTCTTTGAGACAGGGTTCCTCTGTGTAGATTTTGAACCTATCCTGGAACTCACTCTGTAGACCAGCCTGTCATTGAACTCATAGAGATCCATGTGCCTCTGCCTCCTAAGTGCTGGGATTAAAGGAGAGTGCCACCACGGCCCAGTCTGTAAATTGCTTTCTGACCAAAACAAAGCCAACACTCTTAAGAGGAAGACAGTAAAATTCAGTCAACAGTGAAACTGCCAAAATGTCCATACTTCACTAAGCATCCAAAGTACCTTGACCAGGTGGTAGTGGTGCAAGCCTTTAATCCCAGCACTTGGGAGGCACAGACCAGTGAATATCTAAGCTAGAGGCCAGCCTAGTCTACAGTGTGAATTCCAGGATAGCCAGGGATACACAAAGAAACCCTGTCTTGAAAAACCACCACCACTACCACCACAACAAAAACCTATAAAACAGCAGAGTAGCTGTGATGTACCTGTAACTTCAAATAGAAATCAATAGAAATAGAAATAAGAGGGCCAGTGAGATGGCTCGGGGAGTTTAGGGGCTGGTTGGTTGTCACCTTTGAGAAACTGAGTTTGATCTCTGTGACCCACATGGGGGAAGGAGAGAACTGACATCTGAAAAGGTTTCTGATGATCTCCATGCATACATGCACATCTCTCTCTCTCTCTCTCTCTCTCTCTCTCTCTCTCTCTCTCTCTCTCTCTCTCATACACACACACATACTCAAATAAATAAAATGCAATAAAAAACCCTGAAATAGATACAGCATTAATGAGAGGCTAGAGCAGCTGCTAAGGGTTGTAAACACAATTTTAAGGAGCTCCTTAACAAAGATGGGAAAAGCACCAATGTGACATTTAGATCTAAAATTGAAATGTAGAATCCTAAATGAGCTCAAAAGCAAATTAAATGCTGTAGAAAAAGATTCAATGACTTAAAATTACTTTTATTTGTGTGTGTGCACACCCGTGTGTGTGTGTGTGTGTGTGTGTGTGTGTGTGTGTGTGTTTGCAAGTGCATGCTCATGACAGGGATTGAAATCTGCTGAAGCAGCTCACTGTCTTTGGACCAGTGACTTTTAAAGGTGAAAACAGACTCAAAGCTACCAACAATATAAATTTATACCAAAATATCTACAATATAAATTTTTTACCAAAAATTCAGTATTTTGGACAAAATGGGAAATTCCTTGAAAAACACAGACTGCCAAAGCTAAAAAATTAAAAAGGAATCTAAATAGCTACTTATTGATGAAGGTTTACCTTTAGCCTAAAAATTAAACACATGAACACTGACATGCAAATTTAGGTCAGGGTACTTTCATAAAACTGTATCATCTCAAGACCAGGTAGTTCTAGTAAACTTGCAGATTTCTCAGAAAGCAGGAAATTTTAAACTGTCTGCCTGCATTGGCACTTTGTCAGTCATTGTGTGTGTGTGTGTGTGTGTGTGTGTGTGTCCTGTGTCTGGCAGACTCTTCCATGAAGCAGGAACCCTTTAGGACTCTCCCATCAAGTTCAGCAGTCACTTTTCTGTGGGTCCTGCATGCTCCGTCTATCAAACAATAAAGGCAAAAACAATTTCTTGCCCAAATGGCCAATCTTGCCATGTTGGAAGCAACTCCATAACAAGTTTCTTCGATGCCCATCTTCCTCTCAGACGTAATTGGTGTGCCAGGAGTAGTTGTGTCTCACTATCATAAAAAACCCTAAACCATTAAGCGCCATATATTCTATAGGTCTTTGAAAGGTTTGAAGAATATCTATCCATCTCAAATACATCTCTGTATAACTAGAAAACCTAACTAACCTAACTATAAGTTCTGACTATTATAGGTGACTATCTACAATCTGTATTTAATTATGCATTACATTTTAAAAGATCAGTATA